AGCAGCAACAGCAACCGCAGCAACAACGTCGACAACACCAGCAACAGAAGTTTTACGTCAACAGAAGTCGTCGCGGTGAGGTCACAGTAACACTTCGCGGCAACAGTGACAGTAGCAGCACAGAGTAGCATAGCATGAGGAGTAGCACGCAGTTACAGCATCTGCAATGACTTCCAGGCAGAGCTACTGCAGAAACTCGTAAGCTGGTTCTGGGAGGGAATTTTAAGTTTTAAGTTTGGCTCAAATCCAGCTCCGATTGTAGAATATGTTCTAGTTGTGGTATACGGGTCCTGGTTGTAGTGCTCACTAGTCTCGGGGGTCGGGGCGCCGCCGGTGGGCTGGAGGAAGACCGTCCCAAACATGCATCATGTTGTGGACAAAAGTGAGTGGACAACGAGTAAAGTCTTGGCGGTGTGCAGGTACCTGCTGCATCAGCCTTGGACAAAGCTGCTCCAGTAGGTGCTGATACGGCGGCTGCTGAGGCAGGTCAGGTCTGGACGGTTTTTGCGGTTCGTATGTGGACGGAGGATTTTCAACAAACTGTGTCATCAGTGTTGGTTTTTGCTTGAAGCTTGGAGCCGCGAAGTGGCCAGTCTCGCATCACAGTCATGAGTACTGTCTTGTGAGTCAAGCTGGGCAGTAAGCCCCTTGTGAAAAAGTGTTGGTCTTTGCAACCCTGGCAAGCTAATCTGGTGTGCTGCCCGAACGTCTGACACTTGAAGCATGGGAGCCCCATAGGCACTTTTGCTGGTCCTGACATGAGCTGCGGTCCAGGCATAGCTACAGCTTGCTTCAACAAAGCATGGGGTCTCCAGAGCACAAGAACTGAAGCTTTGTGTCCATGGGCCGATGCCTCCACGCAGGCGGTTGAGCAGAAGCCCATATCCGACGAGGACAGAGGGAAGGTGAGCGCAACCGCCCCCCTTATCGCTTGTGCAGCGATGGTAAGGACGTTGACCGTTTGGACGCCATGAAAAGGGCTCATGAGCACGATTTCCTGAGCGAGTGACTGCACCTAGGGACCGAGACGTCACAGGTGGAAACAGAGCTGGCCAAAGCAGAAGCTGCACGTGCTGCAGCTGCAGCTGCAGTAGCTGCAGAGCGGGCGGCTGCTGCCGAGTCAGCCAAGGCGGCCGCAGAGAAGTCCGTGCACTCAGAAATTCACCCATGAGCATGCGAAATCAGTGAATGTGTTCTTGATGTCAAGTCCTTCAAGGTCCAGTGTCACTAACGCTGCGGCGGTGGCAGAGGCAGCAGCAAAGGCAGCTGCAGACGAGAAGGCAGCCGAGGAGGCGGCCAAGGCCGAGGGCGAGCGGTCCCAAAAAATTGCATGGGTTTGGTGGCCACGCTGGTTCCTCGCAGAGGCGTTTGCTGCAGAGATGAAGATGTCTCGCAGCATCGCTCGTGCGCTGGTGCCCGAACAAGGCCCCGAGGCAGTGCACTGAGGGCTGCATTGGCAGCTTGTGACGCTTGACTCGCTGGGGCATCCCGAAAGCTCACGATCTCTAAGGCCGCGGCCATCGTCAACCTCAACTCAGAGGCAGACTTTGAGTTCGTGCTAGCCGTTGCTCGTCCCTTCAAATCGTCCGATCCTGATACTCCATTGATGCGTTGCTTTGCGCTGCGCTGAAAGTTAGGCAGTTTATTCCCCATGCTGTCTGGTACACTGGTACACATGAGTCTATGGGGCTTTACCGTTAAGTGTAAAGTTCAAAGACAATTTGTTGGCGGCAGCCCGCGGCGCTGGAGGTACAGGGGGATTCATTTTCAATTCTAAGAGATGTGACGCTTTTGCGCCTCTAAACCCTGATTCGCAGCAGTACTTGGCGAAAGGATTCTGGCCTTCCTCCTGTAAATTTGTGAATCGTGCCATGTTGGGGAAAGGAATCGTAGGGGGCAGCGTTCTAGCCGCGCTATCGAATCCTCTTCGAATCCAGCCAATACGTGGGGAAAGCATGTTGGCCGTGGTCCTGAATCCACCAGTGTTTAATTCATGCTTAGAACAGGCCTCCTCAATCCCGCCAGTACGCGGGGAAAGGCATTTTGCCCCTCCACAGTACTTGGGAGAAAGCAGCATGTAAGCCGCATCCAGCTGGTCTCCTGGTGGTCCTGCTGGGGTCTGTCTCCTCATGGCTCGTGGGATCTTGTGGTGTCTTTTGGCGGTCTGCTGTTGTTTTGGTGGTCTCGTAGTGCTCCTGGTGGTCTTAGTGGCTCCTGGTGTCTTAGTGGTCGTCATGGTCGTGGTGCTGCTCTTTCACGGTTTGAGGATCTACGCTGACATTATTACTGTAGGCAATGGCGAAGTTTGTGTTCTTGGGCTTCTGTTGGGTGCCATGTCCTGGATGCCTGCGAAACTGATGGGTAAACGGGCGGTCGGCCGCCTTCTAAAGCAACGGCCTTGCCCAGCCCAGAAATGGTGGTATACTGTCGGTGAAGGACGAGAAGAGACAGGAAGATTCCCACCATCCAGCACGTCCTGCGAGTTGCGTCACATTTCAATCTTCTACCCCACAAGAAAAACATGATCGTGGATGGTGGTGTGCCAGCGACGCTTGCGTTGTGGTGACAGAACATAACAGCTGTTGTCGCCGGCCGTTTTTAGTATCATGTGCTTTTGAAAAAAGGAGGGTTTGTGGGCGCTGCTCCGGACATGAGGAGCGTGCTAGAAGCATGCCTCGTACGTCCCAGACATCTTCGGCTAATCCCAAGCCCACACGTCCCTGCATTTGCACAGCTGTTCAGCAATCTGTATAGGAGACCCGTGATGTTCGGGAGAAGGCCATGCCAAAGCTTCCCGAGGAGCATTCGGCTTTTCACATCCACTGGCACTGTGACGCGAAGCTGATGTGCAGGAAGTGCCTGCAGATGGGCCTCCACGACCTGGACACCGGCGCAAAGCGGCTCCAGTAGACGATGAAGAGGCTGCAAGAAGGGCGTGCCTAGCAAGGCATTTCGGATTTCGGTGGTAGGAAAAGATGTTGAGTCCACGGCCCGTGGGCGTCAAGCCCAGGAAGATGAGCCGCCTTACTGACTTGTGCGATCGCCTTCTCGAGCGGGGCGTGCTGGTTTACGCACCTAGGTTCATTGTGGCAGACGAGAAGTCATGTTAGGTCAGCCATGTGTGACGTGCCATGATTGGCTGGCAGTGGACCCAAGGATTCGGCCCGTGAGCTGCTTGCGATTGATGTCCGACAGCGGAAGGGCGAAAACCTGACTGGAGAAGAGGAGTTGGCAGAGCCACCGAAGCAGGCACGTCGTTTTTGGCAGTCACCTCTGAGCATTCAGCCTCCTGTTGCCTCGTTGCCGGTCCGAGCACCAAACGCCACGAGTTGCAAAAGAGCTTTGCTTTTCCGAGTAATGCCTCTGTTACTGTTACTGACTCGCTTGTCGGCCGAACCCCAGCCCGCTGAACATGAAGACGCCATCAAAATTGATGGTTCTCGCTAGTTCTCAGCTTTTCGCAAGTGTTTGTGTGCAGGCTGAGGCCACGAAAGGCGACAAGAGACCTGCAAACGATGCCGCGCCTGAGGCAGGACCACAGAGCCAGCCCTACACTACACTTGAAAGGCACCTCACGCCCCGATCCGATGATTCTGCGGCAACAGTCGCTTCAGAAGTTCCTTCGGGAGGTCCAGTTCACCAACAAGCGCTTCAAAGCTGGCACGGGCCGCAGTTTTCCTTGCGCTTGGAGCTTCTTCCTTTTAGTCGTGTAGCAACATGCGGTGGGAACAACAGCTTTGTGCAGAAGTTGTCCTCAGGAGCAAGCGATGCCCCAGCTGTGGAAACAGTCGAAGCCAACTCGACAAGTTCGGCAGGCGTTTGCAAACAGTGAGGATAAGAGAGCTTTCTTCTTCTTTGCAGAGAAAGGGGAGCTTGTGTGATGACAGCAGCTTCGGAGCTTGGCAGTTGGCCTGACGTGCCAGGTCCTTCTTCCACATCACTGCTGTGGCAGCCCCTGCCTTGGGCAGCAGTCGCGGGCATTCAGTTTTTCATATTGGCGTCGCTTGTGCTGTGATGTGAGCCGTGCTTATCCTGGTGATCCCTTCCGCAAATGCTGTTTTAGCAGGGCTGCTCTCTTCAGTTTGCGGTGGATGGACAACAGAGCTGGAACAGGCAGAGGTCGACATGGTGTAGGAGATACCGTCGGGTTTCTGCTGCACCATGCACATGCCTTCACCTCTGGTGCTTGACACGCTGTGAGCTGTAGGCAAACTCAGCAGCAGAACTTGCAAGTCGCGGCAGATTCCATGACATGACGCCGCTCATGCATCCGGCAGAAAGGTTTCGCTGGGGCCACAACCCTGACGAGATCAATGGCCCCTTCGACTCAGTCACGATGCAGGGCTGGATGATGCAGGCTATGTCAGATTGTGACTCCACCTTCGTCAATTTGCAATGCCGTCCACTGCCCTGCCAGGGTTGCTTCTCCGATGAACGCCCGGCTGAGTTCCGTCAGTGCGATGAGAAAAACCAGCCCAAGGAGAGATGGCCTTGTCAGCATCTTCAAATCGCAGCCAGCCGTTTCAGCTGCAGGAGCGTTGCTGGCATCGGTGGGACAAGATTGACTTCGAGCTGTACATGTAGCATGTGTGCAGCTGGTTGGCAACGTTGAAGAAACGACCCTTGCGTACAGCATGCGCCAGCCACGGAAAACTTTTCTTACAGGTCCTGAACGCTGCTCTGGCTACCTTGTTTTTTGGGGGATGTGAGAGTCAAAGCGTCATGTCAGCTGGCATAGCTGACATCTCTGAGCCTCGTCCTCCGAAGCTGTTCATGGCCCAAGCTGCGCAGAGAAAACCTTCTGCCCCAGAGGGGCCTAGAGGGCCAGACAGTACGACAAGAAGGTCAGGAGCTTGAAGATTGACCAGAAAGAGGCGTTGGGATCATGCTCGAGGGAAGAACAACCTTCATGTTCTTGAGCATGTCGCTTTGCGGTCGTAACTCGTAACTTTCTGCCTGGTCAGGTGAAAACATGACGTTTCGCTGTGAAACGTGGCTCGGCAGCACTGCAACCTCCCAGACTATGTGCAGTCCGAACCACTACCGCCGTCCATGCGTGAGCTTACCTCGGCCTACGGTTTACGTGAAGAGCCTGACGGTAACAATGTAGTCGAGCATGTCAACACGTCTCGCCTTGCAGGGATTACATGTGGCTCCCGGCCTTCGGTGAGGATGAGAAGAATTGGCCCAACGGGCTTCGAATTGCGCTGACCTCAGCATGAGCCTTGTGCTCGCAGCATCGCTTCTGTGCAGAGCCGGATGCATGTCTCATGGTGTGCCGAAAGCTTGGAATTTGGCACGGTCAGCAGATCGCAAAGAAGCACGGTCAGCAGGGGCTCGGTCTGGGTTGGGTGCTGGCTTTGTCCAGTGTGGGTAGTTTGCATCGCTGCAGTTTACAAAAAGGGAGGGGCAGCTAAGCTTGTCCGGTGCCGCGCACCTGCCTTCACAATGTCAGCCAAGCGCAACTCAGCAAAAAAGCGTTTTTTTTGATAGTACGGAGCCATCGGTGAAGCAGCGAAGCATACGACTCGCTTCAATTACTTTACAGCAACGGCATTCACGTTGTGCAAGTTGGAATTATATTCTTGGTTTTGCCATTGTCATTCGTTCTTTGTTGTTAGACATTGAAAATTCAGCAAGGTGTGCATGGTCCGTAGGTGCGGCACAGGGCAGCGATGTTCTCGGCTCGGGGAAAGCCAAAGTCCAAGACAGTTGCACGAATCGATTGCCAACACGACGAGCAGTTTTTGCAGAGTGCGTATTTGCACTTGGGTTTAAGAATCACAACACTACTTGCGGGAAGGTGGGGGGGGGGGGCGGGACGAGGAGCAGTTGCCTCGCTCCGCCGCAACTGCTTTTTGAAGCCGCCGAGTTCCTCTACGTGCTGGGCCTCTTCTACTGTTTCCTCGGAGTGGCCGTGGTTTCTGACGTCTTTATGAATGCCATCGAAAGGACAGGTCTTTGCACGCGGGATGCCAGAGGTCTCGATTCTTTCATTGCAGTGCCGAGTTCCATTCGTTGCAGGATAACATCCCAGAAGAAGAGGGTCAAACTCAAGTCGACTGGGAAGATTGCCTGTCGCCCAGCCCTCCAGACTTGAGTGGCCTTCATCGTGAAGACTGATATGCTTACTTACACTGGATGTCCGTGTGGCATGACAGCCCGTGTGGAAATGCTGCTCGACCTGCTTCTCCAGAAAACTGCGCGTAGTGATCAAGCTTAAATTTATCTTGAAGCTCTAAGCAGATACTACGCCTCAAAAAGCTCCTGGTTTGGTCGTCAGGTCACGCAAACGGTGTGGAATGACACCATGGCCAACCTGACGCGCCTTGCCTGCACGCATCATGGCATCTCACATGCCGAATGGTTGGGCTAGTCACAGAGATTGTCAGGCGAGGCAGGGTTCCCACTGCAATCCACCTTCCTACACCAGTAGATCCGTGACAAGCGCCTTCGGGGCCGGGCCGCCCGCGGACCTCCTTGCTCGCGAGGCTAATGGCGCTGGGCTCGAGTGCTCCAGAGATCCTCCTCAGTGTTATCGATGCTTGGTTAATGTCAGAAGTGAACCGCAAAGTTGCAATCCTGTGGTTGTGTGCCCAGGAGATCATGAGCAACAATATGTACATCGGCGATTTGGGCTCTGGCACGGTAGTAGGCCATAGCCATAGCTCATAAATGCCATAAGGCAGCATGGCGGTTTAACATTGTGCAGTGCTGGGGTTGCATGTCGTTGTTTGCCACAGCTACAGCAGCAGTCTCCGTCGGCAGGCAGTGCGGCCTTCAATCTCCTTGTGATCAGTGCCGTTTGCGTCTGCGCAATACCAGATGGGGAGGCTTGTGCGTATATCAGTGGGCACAGTCAGCGCGGAGGCCTAGTGCCCTCGACAATTGCGCTACGGGCCATGAATCACCTGCAGGTGCGATACATCAAGGACACGAAGGTGTACTGTGTCACTGCACCTTCGGCTCCTGTCGATGATGAAGGTCGCTGTTTTACATGCTGTACAAGGGCTGCTAGGGCCAGCGACGCTGGCAGGCAAAAGGCAGGCACCCACCACCTTCGTTCTTGACCTTCGAAACATGCAGACGCCGTTGCACGTCGTAGAAGCCACTGCTAAGGCTTCTGCAACTTGTCCAATGAAATCCAATGGAATTGGCAGCTCATGGCCATCCGAGGCAAGTTTCTCCATCTTGGCTTATGCAGCTGCTCCTGCATGGCATGCAAAATGTTGGTTCCTTTTCTGTTTTGCAGTTGGTTTTCGGGTATGCAAGAACCAGCCCGCTCGAACTCCGGAGGCCTTTGAGGGAAACCCATACTCAAGTCGACCTCCCATTAATTCTGTTTGGAGCCACACTGGCGACAGCTTTGCTATGGAACGAAAGAAGTTCGCATCCGCGGCCTTGCCTTGGAGCCGTTTGAGTGTGCTCAGGTCTGGCTTTTGTTGATCCTCATGGTGATCTCCCCGGATATTTGCGAGCTCTGGGAAGCTGTGGAACATAGACTGCATTGATCTGCATTGCATCCTTTGCTTTTTGTACAGTATCTCTTTGCCATGTTTAGGGCCGGATTCGGCCCTGGGTCTGTGGCCGAGGTGACGTTCCTGCTTTTTCCCGCTCCTTGGCCTCGCGAGACTGTGCATCACTGCATTTTCGACACAGTGTTGCTTTGTTTGCTTTGTTCAGGTTCTGCTCGCGATTGCATTTGCTGCGGACAAGGCTCGAGATCGGTTCCTTCGGAGGTGCTTGTGCTTTTAGTCCAAAAGACAAGCAGAGATCGAGCGAGCAGGGCTACTTCTCTCCTGGTGGTGAAGAAGACCACAAACAGGATGAGAACTTCCACGGATTCTCGGAGAAATTGGAGTGATCGATTGCAAGTGTTTCTTTTTGTCCGTGCGTGTGTGGATGTGTGCGCTTCCCGTTCTGCAGAACGGGCCCCGAGTTCTGAGCTGCTGCAGGTGGATATATGTTCAGGTTTTGTTGTGATGTTGATTCGGGCTCCTCAATCTAGTGTGTGCGAAATACTGATACTGCTAATCGCATCCAATCGGGAGCTTCGGTTTCCTGGCAGTCTCAGTGGCTTCGAGAATCCGAAACGCATTCCTCAATGTCAAATCAATATGTCTGTCTAGATTGGTGATGCTGGGCAGTGATGTGTTGATGTTTGTTGAATTCAGGGTCCGCCCCTCTCTCCCCCGTCTCCCCTCGGGCACCCCATCACACCCCTCCTTGGATTTTACTAGCCTTATGGCTATGGCTACTTTTATTTCATTCGCATTGTCAACCCCCCTACTACTGCTACGCTACTGGTACCGCCCTGGCTGTTTTTTCCGCTGAATTAAGTTTTCAACGTATCAAACTTCGAAATCATAATTGAAGCAGCTCACAGCTTCAACATCTATCTTATCGTAGAGCTCAGCCGCCCATGTGTGGAGCTGACGCAGGAATCAGGTCCTCTACAGATCTCCTTTCCGCCCTTCCCTTCCCTTCCAGTGGCCCTTTCAGTGCTGCTGCTCACCAACCCTCGCCGACAGAAGTGATGCATCGGCGTAGCCCGATAAAAGTCTCTGAGCGCTGTGCATCGTACCCCTCTTGCGAACTGTGTCCTGACACGTTTTCTTTCGCGAGCTGTTGTAGCTGCAGACTCACCTCCATTTCGAGTGCGAGCTCCTTCACTTAACTTGGAGTCCCGGACAAACTCCCTCGCCGCCGAGCTTTCGTCCAGCCTTCTCAAGTTTTTTGCCATTAGGCAGAGCATAGGAGGAAGTGCGAGGCAAACATAAACCAGTGGCGGCTCGGAAACTATACATTGTACTTCGTATGTCAACCAGCCAAACTCATGCCGCAGAAGCGAAAGGAACGAAGCTGTGTGTGTGTGGGTGTGTGTGCTAGCTAGCTTCACGTTCTGACGTTCATGACACATCAAGGTGCATGGCCAGCGAAAGCATCGAAGGTGTTTTCGTTAAGTTCAGTTTGAAAGGGAAGGGGCTAAAGGGTGGAACTCGGCAGGGTTTGCGGGGCAAGGCCACCGCTCTACATCGAACAGATCATGACGCTGTTGCAGCTTTTTTCTTCCTCGCGTTTTTGTCTACTCTTGACTTTTTGTTCGTGCATGTATTCAATTATTGCAAACGCTTTGCTCGTCGACTTCGACTCTGTAAAATTAAACACGAAAACAAAAGTAGACGAGGGACAAACAACGAAGAATGAGTTGACCCTCAGGCCAAGCCAAGGAAGCAACGGGGGTGGGTGGGCCATGGGGGAGGGGTGTGAGAGGAGGGGAAACATGCTTGTCATTTGTGGAAAATCTGCTTCGGCCCGAATTTCTGCAAGCATGTGCATGAATGAGTGCATGCCTTTTCGTACACCTGCTCCGTAGGAAGGACGGTCGGGCGGGTGGTAGGGAAGTAGCTTGGTCGGTAGCAGGCAGGGTGCTGAAGACTTTGTGTTTGTGTGTTCAAGCGTTCCAAGCGTAACTTATTCATGATACACGTTCAAACGTACCAAGCTGAAGATCAAGGAGCTATTCCACCAGATGTTACCAAAGAGGAGTGACTTGATCCAGCAACGCATTACAGCTTGTTCTGACTTGCTGAAAGTCTGAAGAATGTTGTGCATCAATGGCTGGTTCTTTGTTGTTCGCACATGTGATTGCCCACACCTGAGGTTGGCGGAGATCGAGCAAAGTATTCGAGAGGAGTACAACCACAAAATCTCAGATGCTGGTTTTTGATTGAGCATGGTGTTCATTTCAGTGTTAGTTAAGACGTACCGAGCTACGGCGTGCAGGGACCCAGAGACGGAGGCGGGAGGACGAGGGGGGCAGGGACAGAGTGACATGACAGTGAGAAGACCAATCTTGCAAGACAAAGCACGCAACGAGGGCAGACAGACAGACAGACAGACA